AAAATCATTTTGAATCTATGTTGCTTGCCCAAGCATTTTTACCACGTGTAACGGATCTGGGCAAGTTTCATGAACCCGAATTGGTAGCATTAGCTCCCCATATATATGTGCTAAGAGTTTGGATTGAAGCTTGCACATATGCATGGATTAGAGTTGTGTGAGAGTAATGTCTACCAAATGATGCTAAGGTATAAGAGATGGACCTTTGAAGCGTGTGACGGACCAGGGTCCTAGGGGTTCCCCATAGGGGTGTTACCCGGATGGGTCATGGGCTAGGCCATGATCTGTTGAAGGACGCGAGACAAGGTGGCGTGGACTTCAAGCTATTCCAGATCGACCTAGTTGGCTTACGATGAAAGTTAGATTCTGTAAAAGGATTAGGATTCTCCCTATATAAGGAGAGGTATGGTGCACCCCCTTGTACACACAATCATACAATCAATCCAACACAAAAGGCTACACGCCGACTGGACGTAAATGCTATTACTAAACAAGAGGGCCCGAACTAGTATAAATCGTTCGTCTTTTTGCATTTACTGTCAAATTCTACGTACACCGAAGCTCTTCGAACATCGTCCCGAATAACCCCATGACGAGTTGCTGGTCATCCAACATCGATAGCTAGCGCGCCAGGTAGGGGCTTTCGATGACTTCGCGATCGAGAGCTCGGCGGACCTTGACAACATGATTTTCTTGGTGGGAACCACCTCCATCTTTGGCTCCTGGGTCTGCAAGGCAGACGATAATGGCAAACTCTAAAGTCATCTCATGGAGATCTCGATGCCTCAAGCTTCAACAGATGTCTCGACGACCATGCTGGATCGACTCGCCGAGAAGTTTTTGTACCTCTCGATCTTTGATCCAACTCGGACACAGGAGGTCACCATCAATCAAGACTCCCACTCAGACATGTCACCTTTGTCCGGGCTGGAGACCCCATCTGAAGTCCAACACAAAGACCCATTTTGTTTTCCAATCGGACTCAAGAACACAGCTTCAATCTATCAAGATACGATCAGCTACCTCATGCAGTTTGAGCAAGAGATCCCTCTAACTGGTGCCCAGAAGGGTTTGGTTCTATCCATCACACCCAAAGGAGGCATCGTCCATTAGCCAGGTGCTTGACCTGATACTTCTTCTATAGATCCATCTCGTCTAGTCGACATGGTGGAGCTCTTGCCTTATCAGGACAGCAGAACTCTTCCAGCCGACAACGACGATCACGGTTCTACAAAGATCTTGGACAGCGCGACGACTGCATAATCTAAAACTCACTCGGACATGAGGCACTCCAGAGAAGTCTTTATGGTCGGGCAACCACCTCAGATCCCTATGCCTAACCCACCAAATATCCAAGATGGAGAAGAAGCCTTGTCCGACATCTCCCCAGACACGGTGCCACCCAATGGAGAGACGATGAGTAGAGGACGGCTAGGGAAAAGAAGAATAGAGCTCGATAGGCTCGACACAACCGCGCCAACACCGCAGGGAAGAGTGGGAGCGGTATCAGTCAGCTTGTCGAGACATTGAACAACGGCGCTTGGCTGTAGAAGCAGCATACGAACAACGTCTTTGGGATGAAGAAGCAGAACGACAGCGCCGAGACCATGATGCTGTTAGAGCCTCTACATCACGCAACCTTGAGCCTGAGTTCATGGAAGTAGCTGGCCACAGGGTCATCACTACACCCTACACCAATGTATACGCTCTGGTAGAAGAGATGGCGGCCATAAAAAACCCTACCCTAGATTAGCAATGACTCAAACTCATTCTGGAATCCACAACCCTTCAGATGCAGGCTGCAAAAGCGACATCCCAAGCTAACCCTTTCCGAGGGCTAGATTCACGGGCACCAGCTCACTCCCATCTGGGACCGCCGGGTAATCAAGGAGGAGGACAACGAGTACCAGTCCACTCTCATCTAGGGCCGTAGGGTAACCAAAATAGGAATCAGGGTGCCGCACAATCATCTTACCGCCAGCACAACAACAGAGAGGGCAGAGGCGAGTCCAAGTGTAGAGAGGCTGGCATCTCACTGGACAGGTTCCCATGTTTCTTTGATAGACTACTCTCTGTCCGGCTGTGGCAGAACCGCCTAATCTAATACCTCACAGGAGTGCTTGTCTTCCATTAAACATTAAGCACTCAAGGAAGAACACTAAATTACTCGGTTCCATCGGACACACCCCAGGGGAGAACCCAGAAATCCACATTTTCGCCATCAGGATCACAAATGAGAGAATAAAGCTTACATCATTCTTAACCATTTCTTACATCACTTTTAATACAACATCATAGTATAATATTTATTAATATAACAGCGGAATAAAATCATATTATCAGAGTTATAAATAATTTAATTGCACAACGGAATATAAATATGTGATCAGAGTTACAGCGGAAATAAACATCTATTAATGACATGATAAAGTATTGATATATATAAACTATGATAACAGATTATGCAACTTTCATTTATAAAAGCATTTGGTGAGAGTTATAAATAACTACTACGATCGCAGTAATAAAGGAATCCTCACGAGCCCACCAGAGGTATCCACACACAAAGGTCGACTCTAGCATCCACACACACCGCAGAGGAATACACACTGAGTACTCAATTGTACTCAGCAAGACTTACCCGATAGGAGGAAAGAAAAGACTCCAAGGATATGCAAGAATATTTGGCTTGCGGGTTGCATTTGCAGAAAGCATTACTAAGCGTGTGTCCTATATTCGATTTTTATTAATAGCCGCATTGGTTCATTAACTAACCATTCTATGTAAGCACATGTACTACTTTCAAGCAGGTGGTAAGCAATCAGATTTCCTTTTTCATCTTTCATCTTCAATTCTTACTACGATGCTAAACACGAGACAAGCCGTACTGGATCGCCCGGCGATTCGCGAATCAATGCCCTCAGCTAGGTACCCCGAAAACACACACCCAGCTTGTACCCCAGGCACAAGCAGGACCAACCAATCACTCTCCTGTCCCGGGTGTCCGGGTCCTCGTCAAAACTGGGACTCCAAGCCCCCGCCCCTGAGTCCCAGACTCAGTGCGGTGCAAGGACCTCCTCCCCCAAAATAAAACCCTGACAGTCGGTCCGGAAAGAGCTAGATCCACGACAAGAGAGCAACAAGTCTTCCAAACGCCCATACACAAGTATGTGCTCGGGATAATAAGTATGTGACTTGCCCATGATGCCTTATGCAACGAACGGTCCTTAATCGACACAGACAGAAAAAGCAGTGTAACCAAACCATGTCCCGCGTCCACGGCGACACAACCTCTTACACCCACCAATACCCAAACCATATCCCTGTCCGGTCACCATTTTCTTTTCCATCATTTTTATATTTTCCAAGTGATAATAATACAGTAATATATTTCTTATCTCTCACGAGTGACAGGCAATCACTCGACTTTTACCAAATCTGTAGCATGGCATTCTACACGATCCTATAATACTATTAAGACTCATAGGATTAAGATATATATATATATATATAAGTGTGTTTCATTCAACTCCTTAAAACTTAATGCACAAATATAATTTAAACTACAGAAAATAGGGGTTATGCATCGAGGCTTGCCTAGGTAAAATATATTAAAAAGTTAGTATCTGCATCTTCAGATCGTCCACCATCAACTGAATAAAAAGCCCATTGCATCATCTCCTGGAAAGAATACCATTGCACCATCTTCGAATTCCTAATCACCCTTCAATTGATCCGTTGATCGATCATCGTACCTATATGAGATGCAATACGATGCAAATGCAAAGACATAATTAATTGACTGCAATCGTGACTCGTAAAATACGACGTACGCCTCATGACTTAACGGGCTAGTGCTAACGACAACCATACTTAGGCTACATAACCACATTGACGAATAAAGCGTTATTTCCCCATGAATGTTTTAGTATATAAACCCAAGTGATTTTGTTATTCCATTCTATCGATTTAATTATTATTTAAAATAAAGCATCATTATCTAGCTAGCAAACCAATTATTATTGTGCTACAAAAATTACAGTAAATACCTAATATCGCTCGGAAACTACTGTAAAGATTTTAGATTCAATACTCTTACCAATTTATCACGAAAATCCCTACAAGTTTATATTTTACAATATTAAGTAATTTAAATTAATTATATAGCTTCCAAAAATAATATCGCACTATATGAACCAACTATACTAACATGTAGATCATGATTTTAGGAGACTAACAAAACTAGTTTCGCATTTTTATGATTTTTCTATAATTTACTACGAATTTTATAAGTTTATTTTCAAACCAAATTAACAAATGCTTTAGAAACGAACAGGGCCAGAGCCATCAAAATTGGCTCAGCGAACGCGCGGCCGCAGCGGCGAACCGGCCCGCACGGCGCAGGCGGTGGCCGAGTCAAGTCGGCCCACGCGGGGGTGGGGGTTCTGCCCACACAGGCCCAGCGGCCAACCTGGCCTGGACCAGCGGCCAGGCAGCCCAGGCGTGGCGGCTAGTCCGGCCCATCAATGCCGGCCCAGACAGCGAGGAAGCCCAACGCGGGATGGAGGCGGCCCATTTTGCAAAAACATCCCTGCGTTTCTAACAAATGATGCCGAGGTACATCAGCACTATTCACTAAGGTCGCGTATTTCGTAGTAAGGTCCCCGTATAAAATCTTGGCTTGGATTCATACCCTTTGCATCGTCTTCTTCGTAGAGTCGAGCAGAGGAGCTCCGGCCGGCGACCAAACCCGGCCAGGAAGGCACGACGGTGGCGGGAGACCCGCCGGAGAGTTGCCCGGGAACTCGCGCGACCACAGCCCGGCCACGACAAGACCCGAGCTGCCCCACGGCAGCCCGCCCACACGAACCGCAGAAGGCGGCAAACCGGCAGCGCGCGGCTCCGACCGGGCGGACGGCAGCAACGGCGCGAAGGCGAGCGACTCCGGCTGGCCAGCAGCTAGACGGTGTGAGGGCGTGGAAAAGCAGCGCGGGGGAGCCATGGTTGCGTTCGTGGGGCGGCTGCGGTTCGCGGCGGCTCGGCGAGGACAGGGGACGCGGGCGCATGGACGGGGGCGCGGCACGTCAGCCCGACGCGCAGCTACGGGCAGCCGCGGGACTGAGGGGCGCGGGCAACGTGGCCAGGCGCGCGCTCGCGCGAGAGAGAGGGGAGGAGACGGCTCGGCAGCGGGGCCCGGCGACGCTCGGCCTGAGCGACAGAGGCGCTGGCCAAGCGCAGAGATGGACGGCGCGGACGTCGGGGTGAGCACGAGCCGGGTGCAGATGTATGCGAGGCGGCTGTGGTGGTGGTGGGCTCGGCACGGCACTACGGAGCGCGGCCGCGGCTTGGCAGCGGAGTTGCGCAGGTCCCAGGCGAGGCACGGCAGAGGCGCGGGCCAGCGTGGGAGGGGGCGCAGTGACAAGCGGACCAGGGCAGAGCACTGGCACGGCCGCGGGAGACGCGGCAACGGCGTTGGCGTTGGCCGGGCGGGTGCGCTGTGCGGGGAGGAAGAGGAAAAGCTGGGATTGCGACTCCCGCACGGAACCAAGGAGCTTCGCGCGCACCCAAGAAGATGAAGAGGAGGGCAGTGCTGCGGAAACTGCAGGGCGCCCGAGCGGCTGGCCGGTGGAGAAAAGGAGCGGCAGGCAGCAGCGTGGGGCCAGGCAAGGACATGCAACGCAGAGACAGACAAGACCGAGAGGCAGGCGGAGGCAGCGAAAGGACAGGGCGTGGCATAGAGGCGCACCGTGCCCCGTGCACGAGCAAAAAGCTAATCCAACAGGCTGACCGCCTACCCGGTACGAACATTGCTAGGTCCGGTTTAGATGGTTTAGATTGTAAGTTTTTCACTTTTTTGAGGAGCGCGGTTTTCAAACGACAAACTCAATGGGACGGAGGGAGTAAGTTTTTTTATTTTTTTTATCACATCAAATCTTTGGAAGTTTTTTTATTTTTTTTATCACATCAAATCTTTGGACATATACATGAAGTATTAAATTTAAATTTAGATAAAAAAATAACTAATTACACAGTTTAATTGTAAATTACGAGACGAGTCTTTTAAATCTAGTTAGACCATAATTAAATAATAATTATCAAATACAAACGAAAGTACTATATTGTCAAATACTAATTTCTTACTATAATTTAAACAAGACCCTAATCAAGTTAGTAGGGATTGGAAAGATGGACAATTTACAACGCACATGGATGCTCAGAGCCGGTCCCATTTTTTTATCGATGACGTTGCTACATCGCTCTCACTGGAGCCATTATATTGGCATGTGCGTCCGTCGGTCGTAACGTGTGTATATATATATATATATAACGGTTTATTTGCAACATAAAATTTTCAGTACAGCTTAAATTTAAATTTAATTTAAAAGTTATATATATATATATATATATATATATATCGTTCTATTTATTAATGGATTCTATTTTTATTTATAAAAGTTGTTTTTCATGCTTAATCTAATAGAATAAGTCGTTCACTATCGACTGGCTTAGAATTGTCGTTCGATATTCCTGAATATCTTTACGCACTGCGTACTTTAACTTGAGCGCTTAATTCGAGTCCACGAAACTAAGTCACACAAGATTCGCTTATCGTTTCAGGTATGTTTTAAATCAAAATTTAAGAAACTCGTTTCGAAAGTTTTACTTAGGCCTAAATCGCGGTGCTAAACAAGCTCGTAACACCAGAGGTGTTACACCGGCTTCTCTACAAGTTCAAGATGTCCAACCATACCAAGTGCGGTGGGAAGACAGAACCCAACCAACGGTTGCGCATCTACTCTCAATCCATCGAGTTGGCAGGCGGCGACGACGACATTAAAGTGTTATATTTTCCCATGGCACTCAACACCGTGCCTCTCACCTGGTTTGATAAGTTACGAGTCAACTCCATTGATACCTGGGACAACTTCAGCGCAAAATTTTGTAAAAAATTTTGCGGTGTCCTCACCTACCCAAGTACTCGGAACGAGCTCAGAACTTGCAAGCATAAACCAGACGAGACCTTCCAACAGTACTATCGCCGTTTTGCTGAGTTACGAGCCTAGGTCTATGATATCACAGACAGGAAGGTGATAGATCACTTCGCTAATGGGATCAAGTACAAGTGGCAGTTTGAAAAGTTCTGTGATGATAATCCAGAGACCGCCAAGGAATTCAAGCGTACAGTATAGAAGATGATTGCATCTCAGGAGCGTACTCATGAACGATTCCCACGCGGCCAACAAGACAATAAAGGCTATGACCCCAGAAGCAATCAGGGTGGGAAGTCTGACAGAAAGAGAGGACCCGACAACACCCTTGCTTCCATGGACAGGTCCAAGAAGTCTAACAAAAACAACAAGAAGTTTGAAGACCTCAAGAACTTACCCTGCCCTTTTCACAAGAACGCCAAGCACACGGCGGCCGAGTGCAAACAACTTCAAGAACTGGGTTTCTACAATAAGATCAACAAGGGCAAGGGTAAAGCTGATAATAACAAAGATGGAGACGACAACACTGACCATGGCTTTCAACAGTCTAAGGGCCAAATCGCAGTGATCTTTGTGGGGCTACCGTCTTTATCAAACAAGCGCTCTAGGAAGCTAGCTCTTCGGGACATCATGGTAGGAGAGCCCTCAACGCCAAAGTACCTTAACTGGTCTGAGCACCCGATCTAGTTTTCCAGAAAAGGTCAATGGACTAGCGTGACTAACGTCGGTCACTATCCACTTGTTCTGGGTCCAACAATAGCCGGCATGACAGTCCCCAAGGTCCTGATCGATGGCGACGTAGGATTGAACATAATATTTGTAGATACACTAAAGAAGATAGGCTTGGATTTCACCAGCCTACTTACTCCCACTGATGTCCCCTTCTATGGGATAGTACCCAGCAAGGCCGCTATGCCACTCAGATAGATCACGCTTCTGGTCACGTTTGGTAACCCAAACAACTTCCGAACGGAGTTCATCAAATTCAAGGTGGCTGATTTTGAATCATCATACCATGCTATCTTCGGTTGACCTACTTTGGCCAAGTTCATGGCCGTTCCACATTACTCGTACCTCTTGCTCAAGTTGCTGGGTCCCAATGGCATACTCTCCTTCTGAGGCGACCTCAAGCGCTCATACGGCTACGGCATGGAAGCCGTCCAGATTGCAGCCAAAGCACAGCAAGCCTATGAAGCACAAGAGATTGCCAACCTTGCATAGCAGACTAAGCCGGAAGACATGGAGATTTCGACTAAAAAGGTGGGAATCATCGCACCACCCTCTAAGACAGATACCATTGAGATTGATCTGGGTACTGGTGATCTCTCTAAGACGCCTATCATCAGCGCCCACCTCTCCAAAGAATAGGAACTCATGCTTACCAACTTTCTTAGGGAAAACAAGAATATCTTTGCGTGGAAGCCGGATGATATGCCAGGTGTTCCGATAGAGTTGGCTGAGCACAAATTAGATTTAAACCCCGGCTCAAAGCCAATCAAGCAACGTCTACGATGGTTCTCACCAGATAAGAAGGCGGTAATCAAGAAGGAAATTACCAAGCTATTGGCAGCCAATTTCATCAGGGAAATCCTTCACCCAGACTGGCTTGCCAACCCGATACTCGTTCAGAAGAACTCGAAAGAGTGGCACATGTGCGTTGACTACACGGATCTCAACAAGCATTGCCCAAAGGATCGCTTTGGCTTACCTTGCATTGATCAGATCGTAGACTCCATGGCCGGGTCGACTCTTTTATCCTTCCTTGATTGCTATTTGGGCTACCATCAGATTGCCCTCCGTAAAGAAGATTAGAGTAAGACATCCTTCATCACTCCGTTTGGTGCCTACTGCTACATGACCATGTCTTTTGGGTTAAAAAATGCCGGTGCAACCTATCAACGGGCTATCCAGGCGTGCCTAAGCAAACAAATCAGTGAAAATGTAGAAACCTATGGATGATGTCGTCATCAAGACCAAGGGCCCCTCTACTCTGATCGCAGACTTGAAACAAACCTTTGGTAGTCTTCGTGAATACAAGTGGACGCTTAACCCAACAAAGTGTGTGTTTGGAGTTCCTTCCGAGTAGCTATTGGGTGTCCTCATGAGCCATCGGGGTATCAAAGCTAGTACGAAACAGATTCAAGCAATCACTCAGATGATCGACCTCACTGCGTCAAAGATATTCAGAAACTGTTAGGGTGCATGGCTATCCTCAATCGTTTCATCTCATGACTCAGGGAGAAAGGTTTGCCCATCTTCAAGTTATTGAAGAAGTTAGGCAAGTTTGAGTGGACAACTGAAGCTAACGAAGCCTTCCAGAAGCTCAAGGAGTGCCTGTCCACCTCTCTAATACTTACTCCACCCGAGAAGCATGAAGCACTCCTACTCTACATTGCAGCTACTACTACTACGGTAGTCAGCACGGCAATAGTTGTGGAGCGGGCTGAAGAAGGGCACATATATAAGGTACAACGACCTATCTATTATATTAGCGAGGTGCTATCAGAATCCAAGGCCAAGTACCCACATGTGCAAAAGCTCCTCTATGCCCTCTTGATCACTTCACGTAAGCTACGCCACTACTTTGATGAGCACAAGGTAACAGTGGTATCTGACTTCCCACTTAGTGATGTCCTACGCAATCGGGATGCAACAGGACGCATATCCAAGTGGTCAGTCGAATTCGGAGCTCAGAACATCGAGTTCATCTCCCGCAAGGCTATCAAATTTCAAGTCTTGGCTGATTTCATAGCTAAGTGGACCAAAGCCCAGCAGCCTACTCCAACAGTTATTCTCGACCATTGGAAGATGTATTTTGATGGTTTCCTCAAGCTAGGAGGTGCAGGCACTGGCGTTCTCTTCATATCTCCAGATGGAAAGTAGCTTAAGTATGTTCTACAAATACTTTGGCCTGCTACCAACAATAAAGCCGAGTATGAGACCCTCCTTCACGACCTCCGAATAGCAGTCTACTATGCAAAAGTCGGCATCAAGCGTTTACTCGTCTATGGTGACTCCTTGGTGGTCATCAACCAGGTCAACAAGGATTGGGACTGCACCAAGGAGACCATGTATGTTTACAACGTAGAAGTCGGCATCAAACATTGCAGCTAATGTTTTGGCCAAATTGGGATCAGATAGAGCCCAGGTACCCCCTGACATGTTTGTTCAGGAACTCCAAGTCCCTTCAATCAAACAAGAAGCTTCCACATCTACCAGTACTCTAACTCCTAACGTCTAGGTACTAGTGGTCAACCCGGCATGGATGCAAATATTCATTGATTACATCCGAGATCATAAGCTATCTGCTGATAAGGTAGAAGCAGAGTAGATCACGCGCAGAAGCAAGAACTACGTCTTAGTTGGAGATAGGCTCTACCGGCGAGGCACATCATCTGGTGTTCTCCTCAAATGCATTACGCCTGGGTGTTGTGGCAACCACGCAGCCTCTAGGACCTTAGTCGGCAAGGCTTTCAGATTCGGGTACTATTGGCCTATAGCACTGAAGGACGTAGAAGAGTTGGTGTGACACTGCAAGGGCTATCAATTCTTTGCTAAGCAAGCCCACATCCTAGCTCACAACCTCA